ATTTACAGCCTCAAAAACCCTGTGCAGGGTCACTATGAGTCGGAACCGACTCCATGGTACTTAACAACAACAATAATCCATTTGAAAAAAAGTTTCACAATTAGAAATTTTATAGTTTCCTGTACCACTTCTCCATAATTCTTTAGAGTGGCACTGTGGTGCTGGACTGCAAGGTCGTTTGAACCACAACGATACTTCAAGCTCACCAGATGCTCTTCGGAAATCCTATACAACAGGGTTGCTATCCGTTGGAACTGACTCAATGGCACTTAACAACAATGCCAAAAATATGATGAACCTATTACTAAAAATTATTTTCAATGATCTAGCAACTTGGTTGAAAGCAAAAAAAAAAAAACCCTGAAAACCACTTGATATGCAAATACATTTGGTACCCACTTTCCCCAAATTTATCAATGTTATTTCAAATTACAGGACCATTTGGCAACATTTCAGGTTTTGTTCTGAAGAGTGACTGAAAAGGGAAAATGGAAAAGATAAGTTGCTTGAGGAGTTTAGTTCTCAGGTAGATGAATATTAAGCAACAGGACATAGGCACATTTAGAATCTGCAAACTGATTCCCTTAAAATGAGGCATGTGTTTAGGTTATCATTGGAGAGATTCCTAACCCAGCTGAAAGACTGCTTAGATAATCAACTGGGCAAAACATGACATTAAGAAGCCCAGATGGTGTAATGGTTAAAATACTGGACTGCTCAGCAGTTTAAACCCACCAACAGCACCTCCAAGTGAGACAATACTCGATAGTCTGCTCCCATGGGGCAGTTCTAGTCTATTCTATCATATAGGTTTGCAAGTCAAAATCAACACAGTGGCACACAACAGTGTTTATTAAGCCTTTATAGATGTGCCAATTACAAAAAGTTTTTTACATGTGTGATCTCATTTAATCCTTAGAAGAACACCTTTATGAAAGAGAAAAATACTTACAGAGAGTAAAGCTTCCTGCCAAGGTTTCACAGATATTAAGAAGCAGCATAGGGACTTGAACACAGACTCTTGTGCCTACAACTAACTGGTACTGCTTAACTCAGCTTGGGAGACACATCTAGTTTATGGAGCCTGCAGGGCATTGGTTATTACTACTGAGCTCAGAGTCTCATCATACCTCTATCTTCAGTATTTTTATAAATAATCAAAAAATCTATAATAAATATGCTTGATAAATATGCAAATCATTAACTAGAAGTAACCAAATTAGTGTTCCAAAAAGTCCTGACAAATGAGAGAAAAGGACTAATTCTTATATGATGCAATTTAAGTATGTGGCAATTATAAAAACAAAACTTCCATTCCTATCTATTTTTTATGCTCAGAAACCAGCACTGATGAAAAGTGGTGAAATGGCTTAGTAATTGTTGTTGTTAGGTGCCATCAAGTTGGTACCAACCCATAGTGACCTTATGCA